CGCTATGCTCATGCCAACAATCGGTATATGGGTGAGAATTATAATCCAAACGAAGAGGAGTCCTATCTCATGTACTTTGATGTCAACAATTTATATGGGGCAGCCATGAGTCAGTACTTGCCCTTTGGTGCATTTGAGTGGGAAAATGTTGAAGGATTCAATACCTTCAATGTTGCCGATGATTCACCTGTTAGATATATCTTAGAAGTGGATTTGGCATATCCTAAAGAGCTACATTATGTACACAAGGACTTGCCGCTATGTCCCGAGCATTTTATTCCACCGAATCGCAAGAATACCAAGCTCATGACAACACTCTACGATAAAAAAGACTATATAATTCATTATCGGAATTTGAAGCAATGTCTGAGTCTTGGTATGCGATTAACGAAAATCCACCGAATCTTGAAATTCAAGCAAGCGGCATGGCTCAAGCCCTACATCGACTTAAATACAGAGATGCGAACAAAATCGACAAATGAATTTGAAAAGAATTTTTTCAAGCTAATGAACAACGCAGTTTTTGGAAAAACGATGGAAAATGTGAGAAAGCACAGTGATGTCAAGTTGATCACCAAGTGGGATGGAAGATATGGCGCGAGAGCCTACATTGCCCAACCAAATTTCCACAGTAGTCTTATTTTTGACGATAATATGACGATCATTGAACTGAAAAGAGTTCAAATTATATTCAATAAACCATTCTACATTGGATTCGCCATTTTGGACTTGTCAAAAATTTACATCTTCGATTTCCACTATAATTATGTGAAACGTGAATTTGGAGAGCGATCTAAATTAATGTACACAGGCACAGACAGCCTTCTCTATCAGTTCCATGTTCCCGCCATTTATGACTTATGATTTATGACTTATGACTTCATCCAAACAGATATTTCGAAATTTGACACTTCCGACTACCCAGCAGAGAATGTATATCAAATACCAAGACTGAATAAAAAAGTGATAAGTTTAATGAAGGATGAATGTAATGGTAAAATTATGACTGATTTTGTGGGCCTGCGTGTCAAGCATTATACTTTCAAGGTGTTGGGTGATGCGCGAGAGAACAAACGAGCCAAGGGTGTGAGAGGGGCAACACTGAGAACAATTACCTTTGAAGACTATAAAAACTGTCTCGTTCAGGAGAAGAAACTGGTGAAATCACAATATTTGATTCAAAGTAAAAAACATCAAGTTTACACGGTGAAACAGAACAAATTAGCACTGAGTTATGATGATGATAAGAGAATTGTTTTACTTGATTCAACAGACACTCTACCTTATGGTTACAATGAATAAAAGACACAAATATTTTCCAAATAAGGTT